ACAAAGACAATATTATACAACTGTAGGACTAACATGGCCCTATTTTGAAAATGCCAAACATGCTCTGAATCTTTTCTTATTCCTGTTTATCCAAACTATCCATTTTCTACAAAATATAATGTCAAGGTAATACATTGAAAGTAAACACTCTGCCTAATTCATAGGAAAAATAATGATCACAAATAAGATCTTTTTCTATTAAAAAATTAAAAATTGAAAATGTATATATATATTATATATAACCTGTTAAAAAAACAAACCCATGGCCATGGCGTCGATTCCAACTCATAGCGACACTGGAGGGCAGAGCAGAACTGCCTCTAAATGAGAACTGTGTGTACCTGTTCCAGCTTACCTACAAATTCAACTTAAAGACAGATTTAGGAACGGATCTTGTTCATAACTCAGGGACTGCCTCTCTTCCCATTTTAGAGTTGAGGAGCCTGAAACTCAGAGGCCAATTTGTATATGAAGTATCACAGTCATTGGCATCCGAGTCTGTAAAATGCTCTAACTATTCTCTTTCTCTAATCCCACATTCGCTGTACTGAAGGAGCTCTGGTGGCACAACGGTTGAGCGCTTGGCTGCTACCTGAAAGCTTGGCAGTTTGAACCAACCCAGCAGCTGCATGGGAGAAAGACTTAGAGAGCTGCTCCCATAAAGATTACAGCCTGGAAAACCCTACGGGGCAGCTCTACTCTGTCACATGGGGTCGCTAGGAGTCGAAATGGACTAGATGCTACCTAAAAACAAACAACAAAATAAAATTAGCTTAGAGGATTGCAGTATTGAAAATATCTCTTGTTAGCTCTAAAACAGAGACACCAAAGAGAGGTTGCTGTGCCTGCAGGTATCTTGTTGACTTTTTTTTTTAATAGTATTTAAATATTTAACACATTACTAATATAGCTGAAATTGCCCTACGGATAATTCGGCATGGATAGCTAACACGGAGGCTCTGTTGCACAGCTGCCACGGGCACTTCCCTTAGCAGCGATGGCCGGGGAGGGTGCGTCACCCTGGTACGCATCCTTTGACTTTGCTGTGCCTTCATTTCCACCTCACAGGGTTGTTTTGAGGATTTAGTGAATTAATACACATAAAGTGGATTAATTAAATGAATTCAGTGAATTAATACATGGAAAGTGGAGAGCATGCTGTAAGTGCTCAATAAATGTTAGCCATCATTGATATTATGGATTTGGTTTCCTCAAATCTCAGCCTAACGGAGAATAAACAGCTTCTTAAGGGGTTAGTTTCAGATTCCACACTCCTTAGTTGTTGGTTGGTAGCAGACATTACTAATCAAACATGGCACTCTACCTCCAAGCCTAGACAAGGACTTAGGATCCTCACAATCAAATGCTTCAACCAACACCTAAGAAGTAAATTGGGTTTGGCACATAGTAGCAAATTTATCTTGTCATTAAAGGCAATAGATTTTTTTTTTTAATGAATAACTTAGTGTACTGAAAATAAAAGAACCACTCATCCTAGCTAGAATAAAACTACTTCTAAACATATAGACTTAATGAAAGATCTTTATAAAAGTTTGTTGTAAATAGGGAAATTTACACACACACATACAAATGAAATATGGTCTAATGACCTAAAATTTAAATTATCTGAAATGAAAGATGGAATTCTTTCCTGGATGATTCCCCAGAAAAACGTGTCCTTGTATACTAACCAGTTGCCATCAAGTCGACTTCGATTCTTGGCGACCCAATATGTGTCAGACTAGAACTGTGTTTCATAGGGTTTTCAAGAACTGATTTTTTGGAAGTAGATTGCCAGGCCTTTCTTCCAGACACTTCTAGGTGAACTCGAATCTCCAACCTCGTTTAGCAGCCAAATGTGTTAACTGCTTGCACCACCCAGGGACTCCCCCTTGTATATTAAAAAAAAACCCATTGCTATCCTGTTGATTCCGACTCATAGTGACCCTATAGGACAGAGTAGAAGTGCCCCATAGTGTTCCCAAGGCTGTAATCATTACAGAAGCAGACTGCCACATCTTTCTCCTGTGGAGTGCCTGGTGGGTTTGAGTTGCTGACCTGTCGATCAGCAGCCAGGCTCTTAACCACTGCACTACGAAGGTTTCTCCCTTGTATATTAGGTTCTCAAACATTGCAATTGGTTGTATCTTTTGCATCATGGCATAGGTATGATCTGTTTCAGTTGCTTAAAATATGCTTTCAACCGCTTTCATGTGGCTATATTTCTTAGCCTTACCTCAAATATTCCTTCATCTGAGAAGTCTTGCTTGACCCTCCTGTTTTTTGTTAGTGGTACTTCTATGTGATTTTGTGGATAATCTCTGTCACAGTACTTAACTACATGATAATCACTTAGTTAAGTTCTCTACTAACTACACTGTAGACTCTCTGATGAAAGAAACTTTGCTTTTCTGTATTCTAGGAGCCTGCTATGATTTCAGGGCTGCAATAGATACTCAATAAATATTTCATTTAATGAAGATCTGATGACATTACCTAAATCAGACGATACAGATATTCAGTTTTTGCTTAAACTTTACATTCCATCTCATTATTTCTTCCAACTCCTCTAAGTTCTTTGAAATACCTAAAATCTACTGCTTTAGACATGAATTTATACCTTTAACTTCCTCAGTAATTATCCTGAAAACATGAATTTTTTACCACAAGGTGAACATTGTTACATTACACCCACTCCACACTTATCATCATGGTTAGTTTCCAAAGACCAAGTCATTATGCAAAACTTGGCATTATGAAAAAATGGAGGATAACCACATCAGATCACAAAGTGGAGGATGATTATATCATCACATAACTGCCAAATTATATTATTACAGAACTGTCAAGCCACTGAGATTCATGGCCCAGACAAATTGACATATAATCTTAACCATTCACAGCCAGTGTTACTCTCGCCTCATAACTTGGCATTTGTTACTGCCAGACCTACATCATTAATGCACAAAATAGATAGTAGATCTTTTACTACTGTTGTAAATGCAAAATACTGGATAACAAGACAGTTGATAAGTGTGGATAGGTGTACTGTTAAAAATCCTTATTTTCTATTGTAGGGATATTGTAGACTATTAAATTAAACTTCATTCTTGCTCCCATTCTCGAATAGAAACTTTTTTACTGTGCTAATATCTGAAGATGGGAATTAAATCATAGTTACAGGAAAGGTAAAATCTCTTGTATTAAGAAAATGCTTATTCATCCTTCACAACTCATCTTATTTAGTCTTATATACCATTTCTTGTTTACTCTCTTCCCGGGGTTCCTTCCAATTTCTCTGCTGCTTCCAGGTCTTGTATACGTTTCTGTTATTTCAAAAGCCACTCTATAGTATAATTATTTTGCATGTCCATCACCTTAACAAGAGTGCGAGCTCTATGAGCACAACTTTTGTCTTTTTTGTTCCTTACTCTAAAAGCTATGACTGACACAGAGTAGGTAGCCAGAAAATTTTTGTTGAACTGAAAATGTGTGTTACAGTGAATGGAACAAAGAGGTGTGCATGCCATTTCAGATCACTCCCTTGTCTTGAAAGAGACTACAAAAAAGATTTCTAATTCAGGGTGATCTATTATAAACATCTCATGGAAGCTATTATTTTCTGATGGCATGATGATACTTTGCTGTGTTGAAATGTTGAAATAGAGTATAAAGGCTTTGGCTTGAAACACGGCTACTCAAACCAGTGAAAGCATAATCAAAGATTGGTAAACTTGTAGAGAAACAAAAATGGGATTCAGTGTTTTTTCTGATTCTACAATGGACAAGGGATTTCTGCTTGGTTTTAAACCCTCGAGTAACACTTTTCTCATGAGTAAAAAGTGTGTGTGTGTGTATGTGTGTATAAAATTTTTATTTTAACTATTCACTGGGGAATTGTTTCAAAATTGTAGTTGTCATACTAAGGTTCTTTGATCCAACTTGCCCAAGCTAGTGTATCTTTAAGCTTTCACACACATACATGTATACATACACACACACACACACACACACACACACACAAACGCATGACCACACACACATACTATGTCCAGTAAAAACTCCTCAGGAAAAAAATTAGATACATTTTGGAATATGCCCTAACTACAGTATAATGTAATATTGTACTAAATACATACACATGTAGACATAGTTTTGTTTCTAGACATAAAATCATACTGTTCAAATGCTAATTCTCAGAGGCTTGAACTTCAGTTTTCCAATGGAAGATTATCAGAAACCTCAGAATTCTTAAAGTAGGGTATCAAAGCACATAACACACATTGCATTTTCCTTTGAAATGGCATATTATTTGTTGTCTGGTCTTGATAGTATATACATTATATGTAGACTATCTATAAATCAAAATTTGTTCCATGAAAATATATAATTTGGAGTTTTAAAGACTGTATCTCCCAATCATCTCTACTTAGGTATTGGTGTTAAAATAGGTATTTATACCTTACGTAGGATGCTGACTTTGAGTTCATCAAAATGCAGAAAGATGTTTTTCTCTGTTTGCACATTTATACTCATTCAGAAGACTTGAATCATGAGCACATTCGCCACCGATCTTTAAATTTTCTTGAATATATTCTAAATGAATACAATTTGCAGGATTTATAGATCTTTAAACACCATGAAAGTCATGATTTTATTTTATAATGTGTAGGGATGAAAGATGCAGTCTTTGGGTTAGATATGCAGATCCTGTTCTCATAAATAAAAGCACTGATTCCTTGCATACATAAAAGGGATAATTGAAGCTATTTGTGAAAGAGTCACCTCGAAGATCGATGTACTTAGCATTTATACCATCATTTTCAGGGTTCCACATTTTACTCACTTGAATCAACATGACTGAAGGAACCTGGGTAGCAACAAGCTAGTTAATCTGGAAAAATATGTTTCTTATGAAAGTGACTTCAACTTATAGAGACTTAGAAGAAGAAAAGAACACCCATGTCTTTTTAGCCATCACTAAAGCTACAACATTGCTGCAGACCAAAAGATGAAAGGCAAATGCTTCATTTCAGGTAACCTCATTATATATTCTGATGAAACTAAAATGTTCATGTAACTGTGATTCAAATTTGTGTTACTTGACTAGTCAGGGACAGTCGTGGTAAGGTTTGAAGACCTCTAGAGGTGGAGCAAAGCTGTTAGAGTGTAGCATTGAGTAGTGAGTGGTTAGGGGTATGAGTGCTGGAGTCAGTGGTATCTGGGTTTAAACCCTGCCTTGACCCTCTGCTTACCATGTGTCCGTGGGCAAGACACTTAGCCTATCTCTGCATTTGTTACTTCATCTTAACACGGAGGTGATGAGAATGTCTACCTCATAGGTTCGTTGTGAGGAATAAATGTGTTAATAGCTATCACACGCTTAGAACAGTGCCAGACACAGAGTATAAGCTAAGTGGATGCATACTATAATTAGTCTTATCTTAAATAATAATTAAGAGGTAATATTATTGTCTTCTCTTTCTTTAAGAACCATAGTCACAAATTGAAACTGGTATATAAAATAAGGGATGCTAATTTGATCAGGACAAGATGTTTTGGAACTTTGAAGAGACTGTCGATGTTTAGCACATACGAAGTCACAGCTTATCTTTTGAAGTATCTCCAGATTTATCAGTGGAATTGTTTCCCATTACATAACTTCTTTGCATATTTGTGTGGAAATATTAGGCTATAAAATGAGAAGATATCTACCTGTAAATATCGTATAAAGGCAAAATTTTTTTTTCAAAATAAGAGAAGCTCAGTGCAACTTGTATCACGAGAAAATCAAAATCATCTAGTAACATAATGTCATGTTTGTGGTAGTTTCTAAGAAAAGTAAGAACATTATGTTTTTTCATTGGAGAAAAGACAAATTTTTATTAAAAGAAGGATTCTTATTTTAATTGTTAATCTCTAAATTTTCTTATTTGCATTCCGTAAAGCACTGTAATGTTAATGAATACTGTATGAGGAAAAGTTCTATAGCTGAATATTCTTGTATTGAACAGCGATGAATACATTTTTTTATCACGGCACTTCTTAGAACCTTCAAAATGCCAGTGCACATTGTAGCTGTGTGGGAGAGGCGTCACAAATGTATTTGTCCAAAGATGTTTTTGGAGATAACATCTCATGGGGCTAGTGTTTCACAGAGATGAAATAGTTTGGGAAAAGCTGCCATATTTGAACCTTATACACAGTACACATCTAGCATCTGAGACTTCATTTCAAGTGCAAAACAAGAATAATGGCAATTATCCTCTGTATTAGTATTCCAAAGCTGCTGTAAAAAATTATCACGAATTGTGTAGCTTAAAACAACAGAAATTTATTCTCTTACATTTCTGAAGCCCAGACGCTCAAAATTCAGGTGTCTGTAGGGCCGCATTGCCTACGCAGGCTCTGCAGGGGAATTGTTTCCTTGCCTCTTCCAGCTCCTGGTGACTCCAGGCATTCTTGGCTTGCGGCCACATCACTCCAGTCTGTCTCTATGGCCACATTCCCTTCTCCTCTCTTGAGTGTCTCTCCACTGTGTGCTTGTCTCAAAACTCTCTGCCTCGCTCTTGGAAAAATGCATGTGATTTCATTTAGGGCCCACGTGGATAATCCAGGAAAAGTTCCTCCCCTCAAGACCTTAATTACCTCTTTTGCCATCAAAGGCAATATTCACTCTTTTGTCTTATACGGAAATATTCACAGTATCCAGAGAGGAGGACCTGTATGTATATTTGCCGGGGGGCGGGGGCGGTCACCATTCAACCCACTACATTCTTCTTTGTGATTAAGTCCATGGTGCCACCTTTGTCTTTTAGGATTATTTTCCTTTGAAAATAAGTTAGAAGGACGCTAACCATCAATAAAATTGATGACTGCTGAGTAAACACAGTGGACTTTATGTATGGCTCTCCAATATTCTACCTCATATGTCTCCTCAAAAGGATAATTGTAGAACATAAGAGAAATCCACGGCTGAATTTTATTTAAAAGCTAGAGTTCCTTGCAATAATAACTAAGGATAACAGAGAAATTCTGCGATGTTTTTATGTGCAAAATACAGAGTTGTTCATGGAGACAATAAATGAAGCAGACACAGAGTTCCAGAAGCTTTGTTAGAGAATGGCTTGGACAATGACTCTCTCAAGCCAAACTCTGATTGGCAGTTGAGTCCCTTTTATAATGTCACAGCTGTGCACCAAGCTGTAGTGGTATCTGAGCACAGCTGGTATCTCGGCATTGACAATATATATAAATGGGAATCGCTGTACTTTTGTTTGAACTTTTTGTGCCTTACTTTGGGCACAGTAGCAAACTTTTATTTGTTTACAATTTTTATCTGAATCCATGATTTGTGTTTTTTTTGATTCTGAAGAATACCTCTGTACAAAATCCCCTGATGATTAGAATAAATAAATAAAATAAAATAAAACTCTTCCCTCAACCAGAAAAGTCAAGTGCTTGAAAACAAATAGAAAATTGTGGAACATTCCAAAACCACATTCTTTTAAAAATCTTATGTATTTATTTTCAGAAATATATATCTAATATATTTTTGAAATGTTGAAAGAAAAATCAGGCACTCTGAGAAATTTCCCCTTCTTTGAATCAAACTAATAGAATTAGAATTAAATATACTTTGATATACACATTCAAAGTCATTTGAATTAGATGTACTTTGATATACACATTAAAAGTCTAAATTGTTCATACAATATTGTGGAAGCTAAACAATTGGGAAACTTTATTTATGGGGTAATTAGTCTAAAAAGGAATTGCATGGAGTGTAACCTGTGAGATTTTAATTGTATATATTTGTTTACAGAATTACCTTTGAAGAAACAAGTTTTAACTTAGATATACCAGACTTTGTGATAATATATAATTTGCTTGCATGGTATAAAACCAAAAAAAAAAAAAATCATGCCCATTGCCATTGAGTCAGTTCCAACTCACAACTAACCTATAGGACAGGGTAGAACTGTTCCATAGGGTTTCCAAGGAGCAGCTGGTGGATTCAAACTGCTGACCTTTTACTTAGCAGCTGAGCTCTTAACCAGTGCGCCACCAAGGCTCCTGCATGGTCTAAAGCACCAGGTAAATTTATACATATACCAAACAAAAAGTAAGACTAATAGATAAAAGCATATATTAAATAAATTCTCTATAAATATTTCTAAACATTACAGCTTAGAATTACTTTATATAGAAAGATGATACATATGGAGCAAGATTTAAAGAAACAAATGCTCATGTATAATCTGGTACTTTTTCCACTAATTTCTAGTCTTATTCGTTCAAAATGGCTCCAAGACTAATTTCCTTTCCATACCTAATAAAAATGTGTTTAAAATGAAAACCCCAATCCTTGCCTGAACATAAGATCCTACCCAGCCCTATTAGAAGCTCCAGAATTTCAGGTTGGCTTGTCTTCAAAACCTCTGGAAGCTCCTTGGCAGAATGGTTTCACACTAAGAAGCCTTTGACCACATATGCTTTCTTCTCAACCCATGGCTTCTTAGCACTCTCTTTTGCCATCTTCTCAGCTAGCACAAGAAAATACTGCCTGAGGAGGAGAGGTTTTATTTTCCAGTCTTTTCTGCGCTTTTAAAATTATAGCAGAAAGAAGAAAGGAGGAAAAGATCCAATTATGTGTCTTCAAGGTGACAGCCTGAAACTCAGGTGTCTCCCTTGCCTCAATTAGAAAAGAAACAGTATTTCTCTCTTAAAGAATGGAATGAAATTTGTAGCAGGTATGATTGAAAAGTCACCTCTCAGCTGTACACACATGAAGCGTTCATCATTTTTTAACTGCTCACACTCTTCTTGTGTTTGAACCCCAAACTTCTTAGAAAAGACTACAAGTTCTATTTCAGCCTAATAAGTGTAGTCCATTTTAATAATTTTTTTTTGCTAAATGCAGTTATTAAAATATGAGAATCTCTTTGGTAAGTATTTAATTGAATCCAGTTAGTGTTATTATCAGTTACTGTCTAGTTTCAACTTTTTCCTCAAATCTTCACCTGGGCCTTTGCCGAAAATTCACAGATCAGAGACCTGCCCTGACCACCGTATTCTCACTGCTTCTGCTAACACGCCTGGCCCTAGTTATCTGCTCTTTCTCTCATCGGCAGCTCTTACCACCTTCTAACACAGAGATAAATTACTCACTTGAGATGTTTCCTGTTTGTTGTTTCTGTGGTTCCCTCTGCTAGAGCAGGAACTCCATCAAGGCAGAGAGTTTTCTCATCTTGTTCACTCATTCAGCCCAAGCATCTAGAGGGATGCGTGGCACAGCCCTGACTAAATGTTCGTGTGTTGTCCATCTCAGACATGTCCCGCTCTTCTCACAGTGTTTCTGCACCCCCAAAGTTACAGGGTGCTCGAGTTCCAGGTGCTCACCAGTGGAGGGCTTGGGTAGACGTAGAGAGTGGTTATCCAGGCGTCCAGCGTGGAGAAGTCACAGGTCTGAACGTGCTCTCACGTCTGTCCCCGATCACTGAGATTTCACTGATGTGATCTCCAAACAGCTGTGAGTGTTATTTCTCTTTCAGTTTACACAAACCAAAGAAAGCCTTGGTAAACTTAAATTCAAAGTAGACTTAAATTTACTTTAAATTAAATTAAAAGTAAGGCCAAAAAAAAAAAAACCTGTTGCAATTAAGCTGATTCTGACCCATAGCGACCCTATAGGACAGAGTAGAACTGCCCCATAGGGTTTCCAAGGAGCTACTAGTGTATTTGACCTTTTGGTTAGCAGCTGAGCTCTTTAACCACTGTGCCACCAGTGTTCCAAAGTAAACTTAAATTTGTTACTATTCCATTACCATCATGCTTAACACGAGCAAAAGCAGTCTTTATTTAAATATGCATTCGTTCATGAGACCAGGTGATCAGCAACGTCCATGAGTAAATAAACTAAAAGTCATGGTGAATAAGTGAATCGACTTCTTGGATCTGTGAACTCCTCAGAAATTTCATCCTGACATTCAAGTTACTATTTTAATTGCACCCTTCTAGTATTCTTATTTAATAG